CTCAGAGCCTCAGGCTTGTTAAACATGTGTTGTACTACTTACACTATGCCTCCAGCCTAAATGTTCGAACTATTTGAAAAGAAGATAGGCTTTAATTTACAGTTGAACAAGACAATAGCAGCAATTCTGTTCACGATGTGATAAAGCAATACAAATTAAAAATATTATGTACAGTCAAAGAGCCAGTACAGTACCATGGTTAGGTGCACAGGCTCCAAACAGATTGCCTTGTAGATGCTATTGATGGTACTTATAAGCAGTGAGACCCTGAACAGATTACTAGGCTCTATGTCCCTCAGCTTCTTTACCTTCCAAACAGGAATGATGTTACCAGTAGATCCCTCATAAGGGTATTATATTAGATTAGATTAAGTAAATACATAAAAAGACCTTGGTGCTGAACAGATGCTCCACAGGTGTTAATAGCTATTATTACAATGATGGTACAATTCTGATTTCTTTTTTTTTTTAGTTTAGAAAACACTGATTTTTTTGTAGCTTAGAAAATGCTTAATATTAAAAATGCAAAACAAAATAAAAAAGTGTCATTAAATGGTTGGACATTAACATTTCTCTGGCCCTTAAATTTTCTTACAATTTTTCTTTTTTTCCTTCCTTCCTTTCTTTCTCTTTTCTTTTTTTTGGGGGGTGTCAGTGTTGGGGCTTGAATCAGGGCCTGGGTGCTGTCCCTGAGCTTGCTTTCTTTTACCTTCCTTCCTTTCTTTCTTTTCTTTTTTTGGGGGGGGTCCAGTCATGGGGCCTGAACTCTGGGCCTGGGAGCTGTCCCTCAGCTCTTCAGCTCAAGTGGAGAACTCTCCCACTTGAGCCACAGCACCACTTCTGGCTTTTTGCTTATGTGGTGCTGAGGAATCGAACTCAGGGCCTCATGCATGCAAGGCAAGTGCTCTATCACGGAGCCACCTTCCCAGCCCCTCCTTTTTCTTTTTTCTTTCTTCCTTTCTCTTTCTTTTCTTTTTCCCTCCCTCCCCTTCCTTTCCCTTCCCTTTCCTTCCCTTCTCCTTTCTTTTTCCTTCCTTCCTTCTTTTTTGTGTTGGTCCTGGAGCTTGAACGCAGGGCTTGTACACTTTGTGCTTTGTGCTCAAGGCTAGAGTTCTACCACATGAACCATAGTTTCACTTTCAGCATTTTTGATGGCTAATTAGATATAAAAGTCTCACTGCCTTGGCAAGCTTTGCATTGCAATCCTCAGATCTCAGACTCCTGAGTAGCTAGGATTATAGGCATGAGCCACCAGTATTCAGCTGCAATTCTGATCGTACTATGTATTCACTTACTTAAAGAGCCTGAGTGTACTAGCAAAAACATTAGTAATTGTAACCTTAATTGATAACAGGTATTTTAGGTTTTTTTAACTTGTTTTCTAAATAGTCTAAGACAACCAATTCTTTCTGTGTTTAAAACAAGAGAAACACAGTAACAAGATCTTTCCTTGAAGTGCTAACAATTTGTTAAGCAAGTCTCAAAGTGTGATCTTTGGACTAGTAGCAGCAACCAGGAACCTGATAGAAATGTAAATTGTAATGAGACATACTCATCTGGGTGTGCCACACAGCAATCTATGATTTTGCATGCCTTTCATATGATTCTCATGCTTGCTAAAGTTTTAGAACTTCTATGTGAAGGAATAATCTGCATCAGCTCTGTATATACACCTCTCATCTTTATACAAAGATAAATACTACCAGTATTTCTCCCTGAATACAATTCTTGTTCATTAAAGTCCTTCTTCCACATTTGGGTATTTTTTCCTTCCCTCCCTCTCTCCCTTCCTTTTCTTCTCCTTTTGAGATACTCTTGCACTGTAGGCAAGGTTGGCCTCCAAGTTGCACTGTAGCCTAGATTTGTCTCAAACTTGAAATACTCCTACATCAACTTTTCTGCGTAATCTATGAGCCTTTTTTTCCCCTTGCCAGTACTGGGGTTAAACTCAGGGCCTTGGTGTCTTGGTTGGTTTTCTTTGCAGAGGTTGGCTACCACTTTAGCTACACTTTCCATGAGCCTTTTAAGAGGATGGTGCTCTAGGGGCAGAAAAAGCCTCTTAGTAAATGTGAGGCTCTGAGTACCATCAAAAAGGAAAAAAAAATCGGACTGGGAAGGTGGCTCAGTGGTAGAGTGCTTGCCTTGCATGCATAAGGCCCTGGATTCAATTCCTCAGCACCACAGAAGCAGGAAAAGCCAAAAGTGACGCTGTGGCTCAAGTGGTAGAGCACTAGCCTTGAGCTGAAATGCTGAGGGACAGCACCCAGGCCCAGAGTTCAGGCCCCACGACCGACCAAAGGAAAAAAAAAAAGAAAAAAGAAAAAGAATAGAAAAAAACAGTTATTGCCTGGTATGGAAATGAGTTTCTGGGGCCAGGCAGTTAACCTATCTCAAAATGGACTAATCTAACACCTTCAAGTGCTGGCTACTGACCAAAACATCTACATTAAAATAAAAACAAAGGGGCTGGGAAGGTGGCTCAGTGGTAGAGCGCTTGCCTTGCATGCCTGAGGCCCTGGGTTCCATTCCTCAGCACCACATAAGCAAAATGAAAAAAGCCAGAAGTGGCATTGTGGCTTAAGTGGTAGAGCGCTAGCCTTGAGCTGAAGAGCTGAGGGACAGCGCCCAGGCCCAGAGTTCAGGCCCCACTACCGGACCCAAAAAAAAAAATAAAAAATAAAATAAAAACAAAGTAAAATTGCTGGTGGCCTAACAAAAACACATCAAAGCCATGGTTAGCTATTAGCTACCAATTTATTCTCACTTCTTGGCTGGAGTTACTAAGCTGCTGTGATACAGTGGCAAGAGTGAGTGCTGAACAAAGAAAACCTTGCTTTGAAGCCCAGTGCTGCTACTTACTAGCTGGGTGGTAATGAAAAGGACATTAATGTTAACCATTTGGAGGTAAATGTAATTTGTAAAATAAAAACTGTCTACCTATCTTACAGGAAAGCTTGAAATATTAATATACCAAAGCCCACCTCTCCTATAGAGAAAGCCCTCAATAAATTTCCATAGTATTTATAATTTCTTTTTTTCTATCTGGAGACATGGCTCAAGCTATAGAGTGCCAGCTTTGAGTGAAAAAGCCAAGTGAGAGTTCAAAGACCTGAATTCAATGCCAGTACTGGTAGGGGGGGGGGGAGGTTAATTATGTATAATTAATTTTGAGCAAGCATAAAATTTGGAAGAGGAAACATGGGGATTTTAGGAAAGAATACTTCCAACAAATCAAGGTTACACATGGAGAATTGAAAAGTGAGTCAGTCAAGTATATTTAATGTTTCAAACGAGAGAAAGGCTTCTCCTTTCTTCAGTGGGGTGGAAAGTGGTCATTTTTGAAGGCACATTTTAGAATGAGGCATACAGGTACAATTTTTAAAAACCTACTTCACTCTTAATATGTACCATCAGGAAGTAGCGCTGTGGCTCAGTGGTAGAGCGCTAGCCTTGAGCTGAAGAGCTAAGGGACAGTGCCGAGGTCCAGAGTTCAAGCCCATGACCAACAACAACAACAAAAAGTATCTCTTAATATGTACCATCAATAAGGAGAATATAGATCTGTATAACATAAAAGTGCATAACAATTTTAGAACTTCAGACTGCTGTCGTTTCATTTGTTCCAATGCTTTAAAAAGTCAATTCTTACAGTATGTTGACAAAAATAAGAGTTTCATTATAGGTATATCTTTTCATCCTTGGGTGGGGGGGGGGGAGAGACCATGTTCAATTTCTTGAAAGTTTCATTACAAGTTAGGCCTTCTCAACCACAGGTGTCAGAAAGATTATGTTCAATTTCTTAACTTGCAAGCATCCAATTAAAAATTAGTTCTAAGACCAATCTATGTAGTTACAAACTTCTGTCAGAGGTCATTGTAAAAATAAGTTCTCCTGCCTGAATTATTTGAAGAAAACTTTACTTAAAAAAAAACCTCCAAAGTAGTAATATTACCTATCCTATAATTAAGATATATTAGCATTACTTTTGCATAAGGTGAAGGAAAACTGGCGAGAAAATAACACTTGAAGGATTACTCTTTCAAACACATTTTTGGAGACCATTGTAGACAATTATTAGGTACAAACTGACAGTGATAACGCTTTATTAGAGTCTATCTTACAGTCTGTGGGACGGTTGTAAAAAATTTCCAGTTTAAAAAAATATGTGTATTAAATTCTAAGGACATCCAAGATATTCTTTGTACTGTAAACTGTAAAAACATGGAACTAGAAACCAAATGGCGCTTCGACGATTACCATTAAGGGAGGAGGAAAAGGCAGAAGAGGTGGCCCAAGAACCTTGACCGGAAGGAGAATAAGGAAGTGAAGAAAAGCAAAAAACAAAAAAACAAAAACCCTTAAGAGATTGCCCAAGAACCAACCGACTATCCCCTCTCCCCCTACATTATGACCTATATTATGGCCTGGAGTAGACCATTCCATCCATTTTCCCGGCCCGCCATATCCCTGGACGTTTATTTACGGTACCTCCTTCATTGACAGCCTTTCCACTCCCCTCCCCTTCTAGTAGTCGTGAACTTCAGACCCTCCGCTACAACACCTACGGCCTTTAATTCTGTTTTCACCAAGCGTCCCCGCATCCTCCCCTTTGCCCAGGGGGGAAGGGGAGGGAGAGCACTCCTGGACGGGACGCGTGGCATTCTGGGAAATGTGGTCTCTTGGGCTCTTCCGCGTGAGCCATAGAGTGTGGCTAAGACGACAAAGGAAAGCTAATTAAAACTACAATTCCCAGAAGGCCACACGAATCACCATCTTCCTTTCGTCCTCCCAGCCGATCGCCTTCCTCTTCCTCCTTTCCACGGGCGCCGAACCGCTTGGCATTATGGTATTTGTAGTTCTTTTCGGACTAATACTTCACTATACCTAATAGGCAATAAGGAGACCGGAAGACTCTAATTCCCAGAGGGTAAAGCGGAAGCTGCGCCTGCGTGGTCTCGGTGAGGGCGTGTATATCAGTGTAGCTGAGGGAGAGAGCGAGAGTGAGTGAGTGTGAGTGCGGCTGGGGTGGTGGCCGTTACGTTCGGGGCAACGGCTACGGCAGTGGAGAAGTAAGAAGAGAAACAACGTCCGGCGCTTCCGCTTTTGCTTAGGAAGAGAAGGAGGAGCTGGTAGGGAAAGGAAAGTAGTTCGCGCTGGGCCTGGACCGGATCGAGTCGGGCCGGTTGGGGTCTGGGTTATGAGCCTTTGAGGGTCGCTTGGGACGCGGGAGCGAGACTCAAGAGCCAAGAGCTATGTCTCAGCCACCGCCGCCGCCTCCGCTGCCGCCGCCGCCGCCTCCCCCCGAGGCTCCGCACAGTCCGTCGTTCGTGGCGGCGGCGGCAGCCGCTCCAGGGGGGCTCTCCAAGAGGAGAGACCGGAGAATCCTTTCCGGGAGCTGCCCGGATCCCAAGTGTCAGGCGCGCCTGTTCTTCCCGGCCTCCGGTTCTGTCAGCATCGAGTGTACCGAGTGCGGACAGCGGCACGAGCAACACCAGCTGCAGGGGGTGGAGGAGGTGACCGACCCGGACGTAGTACTGCACAACCTGCTGCGGAACGCGCTGCTCGGGGTGACGGGGGCGCCCAAGAAGAACACGGAACTGGTAAAGGTGATGGGCCTCTCTAACTACCACTGTAAATTGTTGTCGCCCATATTGGCTCGCTATGGAATGGACAAACAGACAGGTCGGGCTAAGCTGCTCCGGGACATGAACCAGGGCGAACTGTTCGATTGCGCTTTACTGGGCGACCGTGCCTTCCTCATAGAGCCAGAGCATGTGAACACGGTGGGCTACGGCAAGGACCGTTCCGGGAGCCTCCTCTATTTGCATGACACTCTTGAGGATATCAAGCGGGCCAATAAAAGTCAGGAATGCCTCATTCCAGTGCATGTGGATGGGGATGGACACTGCCTAGTGCATGCTGTGTCTCGGGCCCTAGTAGGCCGGGAACTCTTCTGGCATGCCCTGAGAGAGAATCTCAAACAGCACTTTCAGCAGCACCTGGCCCAATATCAAGCTCTGTTCCATGACTTTATTGATGCTGCCGAGTGGGAGGACATTATTAATGAATGTGATCCCCTGTTTGTGCCACCCGAGGGTGTGCCCTTAGGCCTGAGGAACATCCACATATTTGGCCTTGCTAATGTGTTACATCGACCTATAATCCTGTTAGATTCCCTCAGCGGCATGAGAAGCTCTGGTGATTATTCAGCCACCTTTCTGCCTGGGCTCATACCCGCAGAAAAGTGTACTGGAAGGGATGGTCATTTGAACAAACCAATCTGTATTGCGTGGAGTAGCTCTGGTAGAAACCATTATATTCCCCTAGTAGGCATAAAAGGGGCTGCTTTGCCCAAATTGCCTATGAATTTGCTCCCGAAAGCATGGGGTGTGCCTCAAGATCTTATTAAGAAGTATATCAAACTTGAGGAGGATGGTGGTTGTGTTATTGGAGGAGACAGAAGTTTGCAAGATAAATACTTACTTAGACTTGTTGCTGCTATGGAAGAAGTCTTTATGGACAAACACGGTATCCATCCTAGTCTGGTAGCTGATGTCCATCAGTATTTCTACAGAAGGACTGGTGTGATAGGAGTTCAGCCTGAAGAAGTAACGGCAGCTGCTAAAAAAGCAGTAATGGATAATCGCCTTCACAAATGCTTGCTTTGTGGTGCCCTTTCTGAACTTCATGTTCCTCCAGAGTGGTTGGCTCCAGGAGGGAAACTGTATAACCTGGCAAAAAGTACTCATGGACAACTGAGACCTGACAAAAATTACAGCTTTCCTTTGAACAATTTGGTTTGCTCATATGACCAATTGAAAGATATTCTGGTACCAGACTATGGATTGAGCAATTTAACAGCTTGTAATTGGTGCCATGGCTCATCTGTGCGAAGGGTCAGAGGAGATGGATCTATTGTGTATTTGGATGGAGACAGAACTAATTCTAGATCCACTGGTGGCAAATGTGGTTGTGGATTCAAACACTTTTGGGATGGTAAAGAGTATGACAATCTACCAGAGGCTTTCCCTATTACTTTGGAATGGGGAGGAAGAGTGGTCAGAGAAACAGTATATTGGTTCCAATATGAAAGTGATCAATCTTTGAATAGTAATGTTTATGATGTTGCAATGAAACTTGTTACCAAGCACTTTCCAGGTGAATTTGGGAGTGAAATCCTAGTTCAGAAAGTTGTCCACACTATATTGCATCAAACTGCCAAAAAGAATCCTGATGATTATACGCCTGTAAACATAGATGGTGCTCATGCCCAAAGAGTTGGAGATGTGCAACCGCAAGAAGAGTCTCAGCTCCCTACTAAAATTATTCTTACTGGGCAGAAAACAAAAACTTTGCACAAGGAAGAGTTAAACATGAGTAAAACTGAAAGAACTATTCAACATAATATTACAGAGCAAGCTTCTGCAATGCAGAAACGGAAAACAGAAAAGTTAAAACAAGAACAAAAAGGGCAACCTAGGACTGTTTCTCCCAGTGCCATTCGTGATGGTCCATCCTCTGCACCGGCTACCCCTACCAAGGCTCCCTATTCACCTACAACTTCCAAGGAGAAGAAGATCCGGATAACAACTAATGATGGACGACAGTCCATGGTCACACTTAAGTCTTCAACAACCTTTTTTGAACTTCAGGAAAGTATAGCCAGAGAATTCAACATTCCTCCATATTTGCAGTGCATTCGATATGGCTTTCCTCCTAAAGAGTTAATGCCACCACAGGCAGGCAAGGAAAAGGAGCCTGTTCCTTTACAGCATGGTGACAGAATTACAATAGATATTCTAAAAAGCAAAGCAGAAGGTGGTCAGTCTGCTGCAGCACACTCAGCCCACACTGTGAACCAAGAGGAGATTGCTGTTACTGGTAAACTGTCATCTAAAGAACTTCTAGAGCAAACTGACAAAGAGATGTACTCCTTGTGTCTTTTGGCAACATTAATGGGTAAGATCAATTTACTTCAGATGGTATATATTAATTGTGGATAGAAAGCACTGTTTTCTTGTTAAGAAATAAACATCTGTGATCATTGTAAATACTTGATTATGTATTTTAGGAGAAAATTATGTTTTGGCAGTAGAAGTTCATGTGATTATTGAGGAAATGTTAAGGAAAACATAACTACAAAGTGAAAGTACTCCCTCAGCTGACACAGAGTTATTTTATTGTGTCTTATTTAATTTTTTAAACAGACTTGTATCTAAAGGCTTTTTCATTGACCTTTCCCTCTCCAAGCTTTGTTGGGCGTTTCCATTTTACTCCTTTTTCATTTATTTTTAAATTTCATTTTCCTGCTTCTCATGTGATTTCAGGATTTCCTGCTCGATGATTTTCAGTTTCTGGTGTTTATATTCTTGATACATTCCTGCTTAATAATAGTCTCTCTTCTCCATTTCCTGTTCCCTTTCCTAATTCATCACATTTTTCTTACTTGAACCCTAGGATTTGTGTTTAAGAATTTCATTGTTCAGTGATCTGTCATTGATTGTAATGAGAAAAATAAGAAACAGAACAATAGGCTAAGAAATACTTCTTTTCAGTAGTTCAGGATAAATGAAAATATTATCAACTAAATATGTAAACCTTTTAGATGATTTGGGGTGGTCCAGTAGTATACCTTTTACATTTTTACATTACATTTGCATTTTACATTTTACTTTGTTTACTCTTCGTTTACTCTTATTTTTTCAGTATGCTTTACTAAATCTAATGGTATAAGGTAAAATTTAAATATATTAGATAAGTATATTAAATATAAATAAATACATTTAATATATAAAAATATATTTTTGTTGAGATTGCAGCTTTTAACTAGATAGGTGGTCTGGTTTGATTCTGTTTTCAAAGAGTACTAAATAGCAAAGAGTTGAAGATTACTCACTTCTGGCTTACTAAATTTGGGGGTCTAGTAGTTAATCAGATATTTTAAAACTAAACTAATTTGTAACTTGATATTTTTGTATTTTAGTTTGGTGGACATGGTAATTGAATTAGAGGAACTGTCTTTAGCACTACACATTTTCCTCTATCTCAGAGTTTTTTACTTTCTAGAGACTGAGTGGAATAGAGGTAAAATTGTGTGATCCGTGGAGTCAGAAAGATCTAGAATTTGAATGTTGTCTCTACTATTTATTAACTTGTGATTTCAGGCAAGCTCCTCAGCTCTCCAGAACTTGAGTTACTTCTATACAAGCACGCCTTGTAATTGGTATGTAAAGGCAATGGTAAAGTATTTCTAGAGCTCAAACAATTAAATAATGCCCTTGCAGAAAGGATAAAATTAGATAAATAAAGAAGATATTTTTAAAAGATAGGTACTCTCCCAGGTAAAACCCAAGGAAGGGTAGGTCTTCTTCAGTAGGAGATGAAATCTTGGAGATGTGGCTTGTATCTGCTCTAACTTTGTATATTTGGTACCTAATATAGTGCTCAAGCACATTGTAAGGCACTTTGAAATTTTTTTAATTGAATTCAATAGGTGACATTAACATATCTAAAGAAAGGCTGTAGCTGCAGAAATGGAATGGATGGTCAGCACTGAACATTGAAAAAGAGGTTGAAAAGGAGAATTTGGCAATGTTTACACATGCTGTACAAAGTAGAAAGACACATTATCTGTACTTCTTGATAATTCTGGTAATTAGAAAGGTAATCTTTGCTGATGGGTCAGAAAATATTCAGTCCTGGCTAAGGCCACTCTGAAAGATCTCAGTACCTTTATCCAATTCTATATTCATCAGACATTTATTCTTTTGGATATTTACCTTTCTAATAGTAAATTTTTATGTACAGATGCAAATAAGGATTATGTTCACTTGAAAGGCTGTATATCCTTGGCATGCTGGGATCTGTATACTTAGAAATATGATTAGTATGATAATATATTTCACAATGAAAATTAGTAAAACATAATTCTGGTTTATAATTCCTTTCCTGAATTTGATTTGAGCTTCTTGGATCTGTTTGAGAGAGACTACAGACTGAAATGAGTTAGCCAGAATAATGTCTTTCTATTCTTATCTTTCCCTCTAATATTTAATGTTGCTGTTCACAAATGCACAATTGAAAAAATACCGTCTACTTCCACAGAATTTGAGTTAAATGTGATAATTTTATAGTATAGCTCTTGAAAACTTTCTGTTTAATACAGTAAGTGCTGGCCCTCTATAAATATTAATTTTCTTCAATTCTAATAACTTTGAATTATGTAGAAGATATTCTTTTTTTTTCTGTTTTTTTTTTAATCGGTGGTGGGGCTTGAACTCTGGGCCTGGGTTCTGTCCCTGCGCTCTTCAGCTCAAGGCGAGTGCTCTACCACTTGAGCCACAGCGCCATTTCTGGTTTCCTAGTGGTTTATTGGAGATAAGAGTCTCACGGATGTTCCTGCCTGGGCTGGCTTTGAACTGTGATCCTCAGATCTCAGTCTTCTGGGTAGCTAAGATCACAGGCGTTGAGCCACTGGCGCCCGGCTTAGAAGATATTCTTAATAAATGTGTGTTAATAAAAATGTCAGTTTGAGGGTAGGTATATACACCCAAGCATATATAAAGAGTGCTTGGTACTAGCAATATTTAGATTGGAGATGACTGGAAAATTACACTAAATTGAAAATTTTGGAAATTGCAAATTTCAGTGGAAAATTACTTTTTGAATTACTAAATAGGAACTAACTGCCTTTATGTTTAGAAGATAGCTTATCAAATGTTTTTTCTGGTTTAAGTATCAGATTCCTTTCATTCTCATAAAGATTTGAAAGACGTTGGCGATTCTAAGTATGCTCCTCCTACTTAGGATTTGTTGTATCCTATTAATTTCCCTTACAGTACCTATCACAGATTTAATTATCTTATTCATTTCAGTTGTTTGTCTCTCACACCAAGATTATAAAATGATCTACAAAGGTAGACACTATAGCTTAATTTATTAATGAATACCTTATCATCTAGTATAGGACCTGCACATAGTAGGTACAAGTAAGAATTTGCTGAATGAATGAACATAGATTATTTCAGCAAAACAAATATATGGTGTGAGCTTGAAACTGCTGGAGGTACAAAAATGAATGAGATATAGCTCTCACCTGTCATAAAATTACCTGCAGGATCACCACACTGTCAGTTTTCCTTTCTATAGTCATGAAAAATATAAAACCTCGAAATATGACTGACATGACATTTTAGAAAAACTTTTCAAAAGCCAGGCACCAGTGGTTGAGTGCCTGTAATCTTCACTACTCAGGCAGGTGAGATCTGAGGACTGTAGTTCAAAGCCATCCTGGGCAGACAAATCTGAGGCTTTTATTTCCAGTTAACCAGTCAGTAAAAAGCTGTAAGTTGAATTGTGTCTCAAATGGTAGAGTGAGGGGCTGGGAAGGTGGCTCAGTGGTAGAG